CATGTTCGGCAAAGCGTCTGCGACCCTCCCAGAGCAGCATGTTCGGCAAAGCGTCTGCGACCCTCCCAGAGCAGCGATCCGACCTACAGCCGCACTTTCATCGACACGGCACTTTGTGCCAGCAACCTGCAACTGGGCCACAGCGACAATCAGCTATCACAGCCACCTCTCCAGCCGTTTCCGTCGCCGTGATGCTGGCCAATCTCGCTCTCAGCAGCACGCGCGCCTCTTAGATATGCTCTTTCGTCTTTCGGCTCTTCAGAACAGCTTTTACTGACATTCGCCCTGCATCCATTGCTTCCAATACGAATAGGTTGTCGTCATCAAGCAGTTCGATGACGGCTCCAAGGAGAAGGCTTTCCCCTACATTGTTGCCGCTGGTATCGAGCGATACCCGCAGAAGGTGACCAAGCGCATGGGGGCCAAGAAGATTGCCAAGCGCTCCAAGGTCAAGCCTTTCGTCAAGGTCATCTCGTACAACCACCTCATGCCCACCCGTTACGCTCTCGAGCTCGAGGGCCTCAAGGGTGCCGTTTCGCAGGAGACCTTCAAGGAGCCTTCGCAACGCGAGGAGGCCAAGAAGCAGATCAAGGCCATCTTCGAGGAGAAGTACACCTCGGGCAAGAACAAGTGGTTCTTCACCCCTCTCCGCTTCTAAGTGCATCACCTCGGGACCTCTAGATCCGTCCATCCCGGCATTTTTCTCCTTTCTTCCACCTCATTTTGCGATCCGCGCAGCATATCTCTCCTTTCTCCGGGATGTAGAGGAGCAATTGTCAAGGTCTCAGGTGACCATTAGATGATTGTTTCCTTCTGCATTCCATTCTCCCTCTCCTCCCGTCACGTTTGGTTCTCAGGTCCCTCAGGTCTGACTGGGAATCAGCGTTGTAATGACAAGCAACCATCACCAGACCTCGTGTAGCTCCACCAAAAGCTTTGTAGGTTTTTACCATGCACTCCCGCGCCGCCATACGCGGGGCGCTTCACATCCTACGGCAAATCATATCTCTCCAGACAAGCATCCTGCGCGCGTGTGCGTGGCTTCCCAGCTCCACTTGAGGTCGCTTTGGAGAAGTCTCTGAGCGAGGCTTTCTAGGGACCGCCGGAAGGAGATGAGTGGGATCGGCCATGGTGGGCACAGACATCGGATGGGACTCTTTTTGGACGATTCATTGCAGACCGGCTGGAAGCGAACCGAAAGCGTTTTTCGGACGCCAGTCGGTCGATTTGTATATACAGGGTTGGGTGGGTTGTTGGGGAGGATGATGGGATCCCTACCTCGAGGCAAGGACCTTGATTTTGCACGGAGGCTCACGCCAGCGTGCTTGTTGTGCAAGGGAGTGTGTGAGATGGCGCAGGATTGTGGGAATCGCTGCTAGATGCTGCGGAAGGGAAGGGATAGGCTGTGGATGGACGCGCTACATCTATCCGAAGAGCTCGCCCATGGCAGCCATCTCGGGGCCGCCAGCCTCGCGCATGCCGATCTCGAAGTACGAGTAGATGATGGTGACGGCGAGCAAGATACCGGTTCCCGAGCCGAAAGCGCCGATGAGGTCGGCGCAAACCGAGAGCGCACCGATGGTTGCACCACCAAAGGCAGCGGCGGTGGGGATGACACGCTTGAGCTCCTTGTACATGGAGGCGTCGCGGTGGCCGGCCATCACCATCTGGTTGTCCTTGAGCTGCTTTGCGACCTCGCGCGGGCCCGAGCCGGAGACCTCGATCCAGGTCTTGGAGAAGAGCGCGCAGGCGGTGAGGGTGAAGGCGATGTAGATGGCGGTGTGGATGGGGTCGCCGACGACCTCCCTGAAGTTGTGCGGAGGCGACATGTAGTAGGCGATGCCGCCGACGGCGTGAAGCTGAGCGCTGTCCTCCAGAGGCTCCCAAACGCCGAGCAGCTTGACGAGGAGGTTGGAGGGGAAGCGGGAGGCGAGCATCTGGCTGATGATGAACACGTTGGAGGTGAGGGCGGACTCGAGCATGATGGGCATGTTGGAGGTGTAGAAGAGCTTGACCGGGTAGGTGCCGCGCTGGCCGCGGAAGCGGTTGGACTTGACGGGGATCTCGATGCGGAAGCCCTGGAGGTAGATGACCACGAGGAAGATGAGGAGGGTGGCGAGGAGGTTCATGACGTTGGGCAGACGGTCGCGGTAGAGGGCCTCCTTGAGCGCGCGGGACTTGTCGTTCCAGGTGAAGAGGAGGTGGAAGAGGGCGACGAGAGCACCCTCAAACTCGGGGCCACGGCCGGTGTTGACGGTGGTGGGCGAGAAGGCCTTCCAGACGATGGACTCGCAGATGTTGGTGGCGATGAAGAGCGAGATACCGGAGCCGAGACCGTAGCCCTTCTGGAGGAGCTCGTCGAGAAGGATGACGATGAGACCGGCGACGACGAGCTGGAGGATGAGCAGGAGGCAGACACCGGCGCCGAGGTCCTTGGGCTGTCCGTAGAGACCGGTGAGCACGTAGACGGTGGCCTGTCCGAGCGAGATGATGAGAGCAAAGAGCTTCTGGGCACCGCCGAAGAGGGCGCGGTCCTCCTTGAGGCTGAAGTCGACCTCGACGAGGTTGGCGCCTGCGAGGAGCTGCATGATCATGCCCGAGGTGACGATGGGCGAGATACCGAGTTCCATGAGCGTACCTCTGTTGGAGGCGAGGATGACACGCATCCAGTAGAGCGGGTCTGAGCTGTCGCTGGAGACGATGCCGTAGAGCGGGATCTGGGACGAGACGAGGAAGATGGCGAGCACGATGGCGGTCCACATGACACGGCTCTCGAAGGGTACTTTGCGTTCCGGCGCCGAGACCTCGGGCAGCACGGACATGAAAGGCCGCACGAGCGACAAGAACCTGACTGGCAGCGTAGAAAGCAAGGCATAGGAGCAGCGACGTCAGCGATCCGTATCAGACGTAGCACCAGTGCCGTCGAGTGATCGACAGCTGCTGGGGTGGCGCGGGGCGGAATACGTACAGCCGCTCATATTTGCAGATGTGACCCAACTGGGCAAATAGGAAACAGAAGCGAAAGGGTGACGGTGATGGTTGGTGAGCAGAAGGACTCTTGACGACGACGATCTCGAGATTGCGGATCAGATCACGCGGCGCGGGGAAGGGCAAGCAAAGCAGTCAGAAGCTGGCAGTCTCAGCCAGCAGCAGCGGCGGTCTGAGCACACACACGCACCACCTCTCTCCGCTGTTCTTCGCGCTCTGAAGCGCCATTGGCAGCGTCGTTTAGCGGGCTCTAATTGGCTTGGTTGCGCCCCACTGGCAGACAGACGTCGGTGACCTGGAGCCTCTGCCTCTGCCTTCGCCTGGCTCTCACTGGGCCGTTCTTCTTGGACGCGGGTCGTGCGCTGTGGGCTGCGTGCCCAAATTGCATTCCTCTTCCGGCGACGTGGAAGTCAGTCAGTCGCCAGTGGCAGCCTCGTTCATTTTGCTGTCCAAACCTCGTGCCGTGCGAGAGTCGTTTTCGTCACAGGTTGTGTTAGACCTAGACAATGCAGGATTCGGGAGATTGGCGCAGATCGGGGTTGGCGCGATTTCGTGAACAAAAAGTTCGAAGCTTTGCTCCACTGCGACCCTGAGCACCGCTGCCACTCCACCATCGCACCTTTCTAGCTCAGTCTACACACGCTTCTTCCATCTCGTCCTACACCACCGCCCTCGTCGTCTCGATTGGTCCGAGCTGAATCATCATCAGCGGAGCCCCTATACTCGCATCCTCGCCCGGCCTCTTCGCTCGGCGTCTCGCATTACTACGCGCATCCTCACGCCTTTCGGCGAGGTTACTGGCGCGCCTATACGTTCACATCCTCCTCGCAACCTCGTCCCCCGGCACAAGCTAAACCCACACGACCGGCGCAAAGATGGTAAGGATCATCCAACCAATCACGAGATTAGTTCAGCAACGGCATAAGCTTGTCCGCCCTGCTTTCGGCCGAGCATGAACGTACTGACCTCCCTCTCGGATCTGCTTTGCATCCTGCTCTTCGCTGCTCAGATCATTCCCATCCGCTGCTTCTCGTGCGGCAAGGTGATTGGCGACAAGTGGAACGCCTACCTTGCCCTCCTCCTCGACGGCCGTACCGAGGGTGAGGCGCTCACCGAACTCGACCTCAAGCGCTACTGCTGCCGCCGAATGGTGCTCACCCACGTCGACCTCATCGAGAAGCTCCTTCACTACAACAGTATGTTCTGGCTCTCCATCTGCACTGCGTTCGCTTCACAAGCAATCCCGACTGACCATAACATCTCACAACTCCTCTTTGCTATCATCAGTCCACGAGCGCAGGGTTCAGGCCTAAACCTTTTACTCCCGCCTCGAATTTGTCCGCTTTCCTTGCCCCCTGCACCTTGTAATTCTAGCAATCAACCCGTCTCTACTAACGACTACAGATCCTCTTCTCCGACCTTGAGCCGTGCCCATCCACTCTTCCGCCAACGCACCACTCGAATCACCCCGGACCAGGCGCACACACGTTTCGAAGCATGCTAACAGCAAGGATGCGTCTCAATGCTGGATTCGCAGGAGCCCCGCTTTGGCTAGTATACAGGATGCGCGCGGTATCTTTGGAGGGAGAGTCGGGGCTACAGTCCAGCTATGAAACGAACAAGTGCTGATGCTTGCTACTGTAGGAATAGTTGCTGCACGTCGCTCACGGCAAACGCCAATCCGCAGTGCGGGCACTTGCGTTGACGTGTATGCACGCGCGTGTCGATGCACACCGAGCAGAAGGTGTGGTAGCACTTGGTCAGGATGCGGTTTCGGTAGCGTTCCTTGCACGACGAGCACTGCAGCAGCGCGTTGAGGAAGTCCTTCTCGCTGCCATCGCCCGCATCCATCTCGCGCTTGCCCTTGTTCTTGGCCGCCGACGCCGCCGCCCGAGCCATCTGCCTCTTGGCGCTCTCCAGATCCTTTTCCAGTCGAGCAATGCGTTCGTCCGCACGCTTTCGTTGGTCCTTCTCCGTCGTGGCGGCATCGATGAACTCCTTGGCAGACTCGCTCGCCCGCGCACTCGTCTGCGCCGCCTCGGCCAGCCGCGCGTTGGCCTGCTCCAAGTCGCGCGACAACGCCTCGATGCGACGGCTGTGCACCTCGATGGCCTTCTTGAACACCGTCACCTCCTTCTCGTGCTGTCCAAGCTGCGTGCTGTAGCTGCGCTCCACCTCGCCAAACATCTCGATCGTCTTCTGCTGACGCTCGTTGACCTGCTTGACCGCGCGCAGCTCGGCATCGACAGTATCCTTGGCACGCATGGTGGAAAAGTACTTGTTGTCCGCCTTGGACTTTTCCGTGACCCAGCGCAGCGCCTTCTCCTCCATGCGGCTCACGTCGGTCACCTTGACCGATGCCTGCCTCTCCAGCTCGGCGTACGCCGCGCTGATCTTTTCCAGCTCGTCGTCCACCGCCTTGCTCGACGCCTCGGCCGCCTGCAGCGATAGACGCAGCCGTTCCACCTCGGCTTGCATCTCGGTCGGGTCAGCGCTCGTAGTTCCGTTGACGGCGGCGCCGTCTGTGGGGGTATCCGCCGAACTAAGGCGCTTCTCGAGCTCAGCGACGCGTGCCTGCGCCTCCTGAGCCGCGCGGCTGAGCTTCTCGAACTGGTCCTCCTCGGACTCGGTCTCTGCCAGCGCTGTGACGCCGGCCGACTGACCTCGGAAGGCCGAGACGGACATGCGGAGACGTCGGACCTGGCTGGTGAGCAGCGTGAGACGCTCCTCCTTGCTGTTGAGCAACGCCTTCATCTCCTCGATCTGGGTGAACTTGACCTGTTCACGCGACCGGCGCTCTGTCAGCTCGGCATTGAGTTCGTCTCTCTGGCTGCGAAGGCGTGTGACGTCGGCCTCCTTGGCCTTGACCATCTTTTCAAGCTCGTCGGTCCTGGCGCTGGCCTCTGCCTCTACGGTCTGCTGGAACGTGGCGCGCTCTTCGCGAAGTGCATTCGCCTCGGTTTCGAGTGTGTGCATCGAGTCTCTGACGCCTTGAAGGTCTTGTTGGGCATGCTGATACGCCGTCTCGAGTTCGCGGTAGAGTGCGGAGCGGACGAGCACATCTTCTGGCAGGTGATCCAGCTTGAGCTGGGTTTCGTGCAGCCTGTGCTTGAGCGATCTGACTTCTTCGTTGAGCGTCTGAATCTCGGCGTATCTCGAATCGCTTTCCCGCCGTGTGAGTTCGACGTCCTGGCGTGCGGATTCGAGTTGCTCGGTTGCCTTTTGCAAGGCCTCTGACTGCTCGACGCTGGCCTCTGCGTTCGAGGCCTCACCTTCCTCCTTCTTGACGGTGACAGTGGACTCGTCAGCCGGAGCGGATGTTGTTGGAGGGGGTGCAGACGCATCGACCGTGGTACCGGCTGGCACAGTAGGCTTGCCTTCTGTGGCGCGAAGTAGGTTGCTCTGGTAGCGAACGTACTCGTGCTCGACTTTGGAGAGTTTCTGTGTGGCGTGAGCAAGGGCGTCTTCGGCTCGCTGAAGCTTGGACTGGGTGAGGAAGAGGTCCTGCTTGTGGCGGGAAGCTTCTTCTGCGAGATCGTGATATCTTTGTTGAAGCTCGGCAAGATCACCGTCGGCCTGGGTGGAGAGAGACTGGAGGATGAGGGCGGACTGATCTTGGAGCTGCTTCTCCATGGTGGAAGGCTCGAGTGGACGCTCGGAGGAGGCGAGGGCAGCCAGAGCCTGCTGGTCACGGATGGCTAGACGGTTGGCGAGATCGGTGAGAAGCAAGCTCCAGAATCGTTGGAGGATGGCGGCGCGCTTTTCCGAGACAGCGAGATCGTCTTGGAATGTGGCTGCTCTGCGCTCGACCCGTTGTAAGTCCCTCCTGGCCTCGAGCATCTTGCGGTAGATGGCCTCCTTTCTGAAAGCGTCGAGGCCGGCGTAGGCGGGATGGAGGGCTTCGTCATCCTGGTCGTCGCTGGCGCCAATGGGCGATCGCGATGCATTCTCGTCCGAATGCAAACGCTTGCGAGGCCCGTCGTCGGTGGATGCGACCAGAGAGCGTTTTCGGTCTTCGGAGCTCGACATTGATTGGAGCATGACGGCACCGGATGCGAGGCTAGCTAGGATGATCAAGTGACAAAGACCCGCCGATGGTCTCTATAGGAAGGGATGGACGAAATGTGCCAGCAAAGTAAAGAGCACCGACAACGACTCGGAAGAGCGACGAGTAGGGGATGTAAAGGGCGGATAATCTCGCTCCTTCTGCCTGGTAATGACTGGCGAGTGATGCGCCGTGCAGGGTTTGGATCCCGCTGCAGCTGCGAGAAAGGAAAAGCGAGCTGGCAGGGCAAGCGCTTTGAAGGCGCCTGAGGAAAGGACAAAAGAGGGAATGTCGTCACTGACGCGACCGGATCACAAGGGTCGGAGGAGGATGACGATCAGGTGGGTGACAGGAAGCCGAGCAAAGCGCCGGGCGCTGTCGAAAGGGTGTGCTAGAAGCGAGCGTGGTGGTGGATGGGTAGGAGGAAGAAAAGCGACATGAGGAGCGATGATGGCTGAGGGCCTCGAAAAGTGTGAAGCCGTGGAAATTGTCGAAACTCGAAAGCATCCGCACAGTCCGCACCGCACTTTCTCTCAAGCTTTGGCTGCTTTGGCGGCGCGCAAAATTCGGTGCCGATTTTTGAGCTGAGCCAGCAGACTCGAGTTGATGTCGATCTCACATTGCGAGCATTTTTTGGTCTCTCCGCCTGCTTCCGAAAGATCTCCAAAGGGACACTCCAGTTGGCTCGTTCGCCTCTTCGCCTCTCGACCATCCATCTATTCATCCTATACCCTAGCCGGCCTTCCTCTTCCACTTGTCCGAGGCTCGCACCGCCTGCCAGGCATATCGAGCCAAGCCCGAGCCATTGCGAGGTCACCTCCCAGGATGTCGCTCGCTACGCCTTCTCGCAGCGTACAACGCGGCGTCCGTCTGCGCCTGAATAGCGCAGTCACAGCATCTCTTCCGACGAGGTGCTTGGCGAGCTCGCCAGCAGTGATCGGCCCTAGACGATTGCCCTTATCCAGTCGGGACTCCCGCCCTCTTGGCGCCAGCCTCATTCACACCACCTCTACAAGCGCTCAAGCCGTCGAGGCCGTCAGTAGGGCAAAAGATACAACGACCGCGAGCTCGAGCTCATCCGCCGCCCTTGTCGCTTCGGAGCCCCTGTCGGATACGTTGATACGCGCTCGACAGCTGACGAACGCCAGCGACCCCGTTCTCGCTGCACAATGGATCAACAGGCTCGAACAGCTCAGCAGCAAAGCGCGTCATGTCGACGGAGCTGCTGGCCATGCTACATGCCCCACACGCGTCGCCCTTGTCGGCTCCTCGCTCAGCCAGACACGCCAGCTCGTGGCCGCCATGATCGACGAGCCCCTCCGCGAAGTAGGCAGCCACCAGGTCCATGAGGCCGAGCTCATCTCTACGGCGTTGGCCAGCCTCCCTCCTTCCACCGCTTTCACCATCCGATACGCGCCCGGTCCGGCTCAGCTCTCCGCAGATACAGCCACCCTCGATCGACACTGGCTTCAGCGTGCCAACCTGCACCTCACCGTTCTCGTCGATCCAGAGCCTTCCGAAGCCACCTACGACCTCGTCTACGACAGCGAAGCAGCCTTTTTTGTCACAGATGATTACGCTCTCAGTCGATCCGCTCACACGCCACGATCTTCCGACGTGAACGCCACTCCGATGCACGACCTCCTCTGCCGCTTTGCTGCCAAGCCCCACATTCATCTCGTCGTCAACGCGATCTTGGGCTTGGACCATGCTCGCGTCGTCGATGGCCTTGAAGCTGCCACCGGCCCATCCGTCAGCGCCCTCCTCCTTCCCAACCTCATCTCGGTGCGCGCATCCGACGCCTTGGCTGCCAACGCGGCGCTTCGCCAGGCTTTGACAAAGCCTGATCAGCCAACAGATTCGGTCGGCGTCCGCGCCGGCGCATCAACGCTCTTGTGGGATGACTTCAGCCGCCACTTTCAGCGCTCCAACGTCGGCTCGCTCATCGACGTCGTCCAGCTGCTCGAGTCTCGACATGGATCCGAAGCTTTGTTCGCCCAGTCGGCTGCGTTCCTGCTGCAGCACTGCCTCGACGAGGCCATGGCGACTGTCAGGCGCAACCAAGCCTGCCTCTACCAGCTGCACGCCGTCACCGCCGAGGCGTCCGCACGCGAGCAGGCCACTCTCAAGCAGTCGCTCGAACGCATCTGGCCGCCTGCCACAGCCTATACTGGTCAGCTCGCCAGCGAGGACGTCCACGTGTGGCGTCCCGCCGCTCCTGGCTCGAACAGCGCCGTGGACGTGGCGATGCGCCAGACGGACGAATCG